ATGCAGGATGTTAGGTGGGAAGTGAGCCTCCCCACCTACTCCCACAAGTCCACGAGTCTGTCACTCTCTTAATCGCGGATTTCCCGGCAACGCTAATAAGGAAATGTCAGTCGATTCCCATCTACTCCTTCGTCACCGGCATCGGGGATTCCTCAAATCTACAAAATATGAACGCAGCAGTTTTATTCATGCGGCCGAATTTTTGTAATTTTTTTCAGTTTCTTTCACGAAAATCCCTCACACTGGACCCTGACCACAAAGATCATGTTAAAATCAAGGGAGTTACAAATATGACCGTATACACGATATGACCGTCTACACGAGAATATTTATGAAGTCAATATACACTTAAAATCCCTGAGATGCAGTAGGCATGGTTGCGTACTCGAATTGAACGTGGCAGCGGCCACGGTTTTAAGAGATATTTTCGTTTCACAACATCTGTAATCATGTATTGGCTTAGCCAGAACAGGACGACAGTTGTCTAAAATTCAAATACTCCAGGAATAACCCATCCCTAAATGCCACGCCTCTCTTTCTCAGGCATTAGAAGTGAAGAAATTGACAAGTAATGAAGGGAGTGCCTCGGATTCTACACTACGTTTAAAAGTTGCAGACAATTATAGAGACAAACCTTGTCCTTAACGAATTTTGCTGTCTGAATTTTTGCAGCACATGGAAGATGGAAGTTCACGTTGCAGTCCATCTTATGGCACTGAACGCTTGCACCTACTCGTCCACATAAATGACAAATCACACCAGCAGCGCGAACAATGGCACGATCCACATGAAGAAGTGCTCCAGATGTCGTTTCGAACACCTAAAACACTTTATTGAGTCCTATAACTAAGTGTTAAATAAATGAATGCCGCACACTTGAAATCATGTATAGTACGCCTTCAAAAAAAGGTGAAAAATATTTTGCAGACTTTTGTAAAGCTATGTAGTAGTCGGCTGCGTTCATACTTTGCGGCAGCGTCCAACAGCGACTAGGAAAGTGAATATATCGATTTAGCGAACGAGAGCGTCCACTAGCATCCAGCAGCGTTAGGCAACGTCAGCATCTACCAGCGGGCACTGGCCACTAGGAAAGTATAGCTATCGATCTAGCAAACGCCAGGTCCACCATCGTCCAGAAGTGGACAGTATGGAGAAGAAGGAGGTGGACCCTGCCTCAAAGTATGAACGTAGCCCTATGAGCACACTTTCGAACCACTTTATGCGCAACGTGGTCTACCCACCGCAGAACGTTCCCTTCTCCCTCCGTGAAGTCCACACCGATTTTTGTGGTTGTGAAGAAGTTCACATATCTTTACCAAATGGACCGACATGCTGATAGGAACTAACTTAATGCCTCTCCCGTGTTCCCCACTCCCCCCCCCCTGCCGAAGCAAAACTGCAGCTCACATATTGTTCCAAGAAATCTTGTAACTGTTGCTACTAGTGCTGTGCTTCACGAGGTTATCAGCTGGGACGTTCAAATATTCCCAAAGAACAAAACAAGTGGAATACAACAGACATATTGTAAAAAGAACAACTTCAGAGTCGTTGGGGAACCCGAACGAGTGGGATCGTATTAAGTCTTCGGAGGTAGGGGAAGGGGTCGTATGTCGTATTTGCCCATGAAAAAATATTTCGGCGCAGTTCAGCGACGGAGAGGGGGCATTTTGTACTTTTGCTGCTTCACCAGTTCCGGCTTACAAGTCTCACTCTGATGAAACCCGTAAGCCTCTGCGAAGCTGGAAATCCTTGTGCCACCATGGTAAAACCTGTCAGCTCTAGTAAGTTCATGGAACAGCTCTGTGGATGGCTCTACACGTCAAAATGGGAAGTAGCGCAGTGCAAAACGCTCCCCCACCCCACAGCGTCGCCGATCGCCTCAAAATTTCGACATTTACTGCTCTCAGTTCTCTCCATCGTGCTATGTGGCTTGTGTGCCCACCCTCGGCTCGATGCTAGTTGCCAGTTGCCTAGGGGAAGACCAGACTTGAAAAAAAGATAAAAAAGTGGAATACTGTTATCAGAAGAGGAAATTCTAGGTAGAAATGGAGGTGGGAAAAGGTGAGGGGTTCGCAACAAAAGAGAAAATTTGGAAAGGGGTCGTACTTAGCGAAAGTCCTTCCCACCGGTAGAACGCGCTCGGAATAAAACTCCTCATCGGAATAATAGAAAACAAACGAATTTAAAACAACCACAATAAAAAAGGTATTTTATTATTACCTCAGTGCTCCACATGGCACAATTCACATGCACCCAGAGATTAGCACTCAGATTGAGTAATCGTCCGCAAAGCGCTGGATCACCATCACCGACGCCGCCACAGAGCACACATACGCGTCGATCGAGTTCAACCGATGTTCCCAAACCAACACCCACCTTTGGCGATAAAGCCAGTTCCTGAAACGATATCGAGTTAGTGGGGCGGCTTCAGAACAAAGAAAATTCGACTATGGGGAACAAGGGAAAGTAAAAGTACAATCAAAGGCATAGGGCAGGATAACCTGGTAATCGGTCTGAAATGGTAGCAGCGTTGCTCTATTGAGGGAAAGTGACGAGAAAGCAAAGTGTTACGTCCAAAACCAACGGAAAAGCCTTTATTCTGCACGACACTGGACAAGTATACGGCCAACAAGAAGCTATTTTGGACGAGCTTCTCGCTGTCATCATGTCAACAACCGCTGCAGTACGTACGGTCTGAGGACAATAAGAATTTAAGCGTCCGGTAGGCACAGTGCGCTTTAGGTGGACGCAATGATAGCACCCTTGGTTGGGAAACATGCACGTAGCGCCTGCTTCAAAGCGCAATATTCTTTCGCGCGGCGTAGTTACCCAACATGCCTTATCAATTTATCGTCTTTTACCTTCAATAGTCTTATAAAGCTATGCCCCTCCTCCCACACTGAAGGTGGGCTCTTTGCTTTTATCTATAAAATTACGGTCCTTCAAGCAAACAATCGATTCTACTTCGATAAATTGCTCACGTGTTTGGTTTGCTGAATTCTGAAGAACGAATGCAACAACTCGCGACTATATGCTTTCCAATCATCTCCTGGAGATCGACTAGTATCCTTTCGCTGAGCTGCATCTTGAATTGTTGCTAAGTCAGCAACTCGGATAATCTAAATAGGAAAGCTTTATCAAGCCAGAACAGCAATGAAATAAAAGACTGTATGGTCAAACCTGGACGTTATCTCGGCGACCTTCATCCATGACATATCGTGTATCTCGGGGAGATGTCAAAAACGCATCTGGAGGTACAGCTGGAGCAGCCGGTAGCTCCATACGCATCTAAAATGAGAAAAAAACCTTGTGCTAAATCATGCGTCATAAGAAAACTGCAAATGAAAAATCACTCAAGGAACCTATATGTAACAAAATAAAAGAGGAGGATTAGTACCTTTCCCTGGTTGATGCACTTGGCAAAACTTTCAGCGCTTATTTGCCGTAGTTTTGCAAGAGTTTCTTCGTCGACGTGGGACTCGGCAGCAGTGAGTTGATCTGGTGACAACGCTACCTTAAAATTTTTCCTTATTGCACGAGATTTCAGTAGATTCTCCTTTTGATTTTCTTCACTGCAACAATTTAATACACAGAGAATCAACTGGTTCTTGTCAGCTTTTACGTTTAGTTTCCTGAAGAGGCTGGACTTATATCGGAGTTCCTTTAGGGTGAATATAGCTAGAAATTTATTCCAGGGGAGCTTTTCCTCTAAATACCGAAATCAATTCCTTTTTTGCATAAAGCCTGGCTCTATCTCTCAAAATGAAATTGATCGGAACCAAGAGGATGTTATATTCATGCCCACGGGGTCTAGCTACTACCCAGAACGAATTTCTGACCAGACCTCTCGCCAGAGGAAATTTCGAGAGAAATCTAGCCGAGGTTTCGAAAGGAGGACAAATGGGGTACAACAGAGAAATTTGTCCGCTATTTGTGTTCGAAAGTACCTGATGCAGAAAACAAACCTTGCTTGCAGCAACGAACTGATAGTAGCACTTCATTGAACAGAAACATACTGTGTCGTCCTTCTGAAAAAAGTGGAAGTTGCAGAGATAAAAAGTTTTGATCACCGGAAAGCAGCAAAATGCCGCTCTAACCTCGTCATCACTCGGTGTTAATCCAAGCTGGCTCATTGTTTGTTGTATAAGGACAGCTTCCATGCTTCGATCACAAGCGCGACATCTTCCACCAGAAGCGGGAAGTTGCGTTGCATCCGGTGGTTCTCGTTTGACGTTATCCACAACTTCAGCTGGAAATGATTTCGTTTGTGCCATTGAAAAGGTAATAATTTCGGGCCAGGGCAATTTTTGATGTAGAATATTTTTTTCCCTTTATGTTGCTGTCTTGAAGCAGGAACCACTCTTGGTATCGCTTAATAATCATGGTTGAAGGCGCTCCCCACGTACAAAAATGATCTGTCGGCTGACACACTAACGGCAAGATGGTAAACAACAGAAAAGTGAAAAAAAACATTGAAATCCTGTTTAAAGTGGATGATATAGAAACCCGTGCTGAACTGTGCTTGTACAAGCATAAGACAGGAAAGCGCATAGTTGGACGGTTCCAAATCGTTGGTGCCAATTCTCTCCCCATCATCCCACTTTCACCATTCGAAACGGGAAGAGCGGAACATTTTAACCGCTCAATCATGCAGCAGTTAAAAATGAAAGTTGGGCCTAGCCGTGGGCAGTCGCCTTGGTGGTCGCTTTTTGCTGAACGTTAAATGAACGAGGGTTTGCCTTTAAGTACGACGTCGTACACGTTAAATGTGAGCGTGATACTTGCTCATATAAAATGGCCGAAAGATTATAGTGCCGAGCCTCCCATTTCTGCAGTGCGGATCAAAGGACTTTTTGGCTGAATGTTTGCTTTGGTCTTTCATGTCAGTCATGATCATCCCCATCCTAGACCCATGCTACCTCGGACACCAACGGAATCCTTGTAAAAAATACTCCACAACTTACATTTTGTAGATGGTTCTGGTGAGAGCGGTGGTGTATCCAACTGATATTCAATCGGTTGCTCAACACCAAGAATAGATCTCAGCTGCTCGAATAATGCTGCAACACCGGTGCCTGGTGGGAGCGACGTTTCTTCTTTTACAACCAATGACACTTCCACCTCTTCAACGGTTTCTGGTTTCTAGAAATATTAGTTGTTCTCAAAACAATAGGCAGTTAAAGGAGATTTGCATCGAGAACTAATGGCTGACTCCCATTGTAAAGAGTACAATTTTTAATAGCCGCTGCTCTGCTATGGAAGGGGCGAGCAACATTTTGCAAAGTCCTATCAGATTAAAGAAAACCACTGTCATCTGCAAGCTATTCCTCCAATATTTTTGTGCTTATATTCAAAGTTGTGTTCGCATTCAGTGAGAAAATTTCCACCCACCCAGAGTCACATCTTTCCGTAATTGAAACAAGGTGGGTACTGCTCCTCCCGATAGTTCACTACAACATAAAAAAAATGTTTTTTGTGGTTAGCGAATGGAAGAAATAATGAGCATTGATGTCAATCTCTCTATCTTATCTTATATCTTATCTTTTAATGCGTAGCTTTAGCATTAAAAGCTAAAAAGGCTTCACAGGAAGTTGCTTGGCATGGACAGGAGTTTAGAAAATTCTCGCCTCCACTCCCTCCTAAAGTTCCAAGAGCAGTGAGTACTCGAAGGAGAGACATCCCCAATAAGAAATATTCTCGAACAAGGGAATTCAAGACGCTACGAATACTGACCATGCTGAAGACCTTCCTGCGTGGTTCCAGCGGAATAGTGAATTCTGGGATTTTACTTGCGACACGCATATGACTCGAACATGGTTGACGATCAAGCGAATTGGCGAATACCGTCCACTGATCAAAGGAACCAAAGGCTGCATCTTCTTGGTCCACGACCATTTCGTAGACCGGAGGCGGTGGTAAGCTGAAAGAAATCGAAGCATAATCATTTCCTACCACTGGACGCGAGAATGTTGCAAAACCCTTGAGCGTACCTTGTAAGAGCTGAAAGATTAGCCTGTGGAGCCAGATCGGACATAGAAAGGCTCAGCATTTCTAAGCATTCCGTATCACGTCCTTTGCCAGTATAATAGTCATCAACAAATGACAAAGATAGATTGCCAAACTCTTTTCCAACCAGTGCTCGTTTGTCTGAAACTATGCCTCGGATTAAAATGAAACAGGAAAAAAAGTAACAACCACTTTTAGAACAATTTTTTTTGAAAAAAATATTGCAACAAGGAACTTTCTTGAGAAACCGTCTACGATGTATTCAGAATTAAAAAGTCATTATTTCTAGCCAGCAGCCATCGGGAAATTGGAAAGGGGAATTGATCCCCAACTGAAGCTTTTTAATTGATCCCCAACTAAAGCTTTTTCTATCTGAAATGAGACGCAATGAATATCACTCTGAAGATGCAGATGTTCCGATCCCTCCTCTGACAAGAAGAAGATTTGCACTGATTTGAATATGGTGATTTCTATCACTATCTAACAAGAACGTTAAAGGGGTCGAAGAATTTCATTGGCAGGGTGCCAAAATAGCTATAACCATAACTACTTAAAAATAGTGGACGCTCAGACATGTAATCTCAAACCCTTTGAGCAGAACAAATGTAAGGTGGTGATGGTAGCACTACGAAGCCGACCCTATCTGACCTTAATTTATCCCGGCATATATAAACGCTTCGTTCCCCAGCACGATTTCTCTTTCCGTATTCACATTTATCACTTTATGCAGTGCTCTCTCCGATAGATTTCTCTTGAATTTCTTTTACCTAGCACTTTCTAAAACCAAAAAGGGAGAGAGATGGATCAAAACAGATAAGAAAAACAAGAAAAAAAATTAAGTGGCATGGTTTTTAAAAGTACGTAAAAAACGGAAACCAAGAATTGAGAAGACTTTCTCACCCCTTCTATCGGGCAAGTCACTGATACCCATCGTAGCAAAAGCTGCGCCGGGATTGCGTGGCGCCGGTTCCATGGCTCGTTTTGGCAGCTGCTCACATAGCCTCAGCTGAGTGTTCACGCGCTCCACCATCAGATCATACTCGTTGCCCATTCCCACCGATTCAAACTGAAAGGAATGCATTATAAACTATATATGAGCAAGCCGCAAGTCCACAGAGCACTTGACTTGGAATAAAAGGTATGGAATACCTTCTTTTGCTGCGTTCGTTTTTTCTTCGGCCTCGGAGGTTCCAGCTGGTCCATCAAGTGACTTGGTGGACCTTGAGGACCAGGGCCCATAGAAGGCATTTGCTGCCCAATCGCAGGTTCGAGCAACCTCTTTAGCATTCCAGAACCTTCCCGGGCGGGATCGCGCCCGTCAAAGTGCATTGACACTCGACTGACAACGTCATCCAAACACTCGTAAACCTGCAAAGTAGTGCCGACTTGCTAGTGTTCAAACCAGGGAAAAATATTAACCGAAGTCAAAAGAAGTGCGAGAAAACGTACTTCCTTCTCGAATGAAGTCTGTAACCGCTCATAAAGAATGCCGCCAAGCACAGGTGCTGGCACGCGAGTCCACATGTGAGGTCGAGGAACCTGGAAAATGTAAATGAGAAGACATATTGATGAAATGTGGCACTATCAGAATCAAAAAGACTTTTATCACTTACTTGCATCGGAGGGCGCTGCAACATTTCCTGCGGTGGTGGGCCACATACAGCACCGTAAGGAACCTGTTGAGGAACTCGCATCTGTTGGAATTGAGGCGACGAGCTCGCCATTTGTGGATGAAACTGCGTTGAAGCGCCGGGCATTGGTGTCGGTGATGCAAGCGGTGTTCCAGGCATTGGAGCACTTCCTGGGGCTGCAGGTTGAGGGGCACCTCCAGCAGCAGCTCGTTGAGCCATAGCCATTCGCATCGCATCTGCTGGCTCGACATTACGCACAATGTTCCATTTATGCTCGAATTCGTACACCGTAGCCAGATGAGTCTTGAGATCGCGCTTACACGACTCCAGGTCCTGGAACAAAAAATGCTTAGAAGCAGTGTTCCAAAATCAGTAACAGAAATGGCACGTAGTGAAGTGCAGCAGAATCGAAATCGTTTCCTACTTTCTGAAGTCTAGAAACTAACTTTTTGACGGGAAGGGATTTGCTCCAAGAGAATTTGTAGCGCCATCCTATCTTGCTCATTCAAATCCACCTAAAAGAAGAAATGCACGTTTCAAAGTGAGAGTTTAAGAATGACCAGCACCATAAAAAGAAACATCCTTCCTAATGAGAATAGTAGGAGAATTGAACACTTCGCATACTTCTTACAGTATCCAAGACTTACAGGTATTTGTTTGCCATCTGCATCAGTTCCAGCGCTTTTCATCATCTGCCGCCTTTTTGCTGCGAGGTTTTTCTTCTGCTTCCGCATTCTATTTAAATCCGACTCGATGACCTGCAAGATTTTGACAACGATTGAACACTTCACAGGAAATAAAAGAAAGTAAACGTTCAACATGCAAACATAACAAAAAAATTTATCTATCGTTGATACCTGTTGATGCTTTTGCAAATCAAGAGTTCGTGTTCGCATCAGCTCGTATTGCTCTAGTACCTGCAGCAATGAAAATGACAAATCTATGGCAGAATAAGTTGAGACAACAATTTTAAGAGCAAAATTCCAATGTAGTTGTGAGACAGCACAGGACTACAATATGAAAGTTTTGTTCAGAAATCATATTCAATTCCTGAGGAAAATTATAATTAACGTCTCACAAATTACAGAAAAGGTTCTCATGGTAGCTCCATGAAAGGCAACAGTCCCCCTCGCGACACCAGAAAAAGAGACCCTGTCGGTCGTTCTTGATGCAGTTTGTTACAAAGTACCATCACTTGACGGTCATCCCCGCGCTCAACCAATTCCTTGGCTTTCTTCCTTGTTCAAGTGAATTAGTTCGCTTCTCTAGACTGTCCCACTTTCGCGGCTTCACATAAGGCGCTATGGCCCTCATGAGTGGCAATTCTGACGCCTCCTTAGTTGATTTACCCATCAAAACTCAGAGGCCATTTTCTGTGGGGAGTTCAGCTTTAGAACCGTGCTTTCCGTTTTTCAACTGTTACATGATGATGATAGTGATTAGCATTGGATAGCGCCAAGAAACGATCAGTGAGCCACAAGCGGTGGCCTCGTACTTCATACAGTGAACCTGTCAAATGATCTTTAGGGTAATCACTACCCACAGCATGTAGCGGCGGAGTTTGTCTTTAAGGGAATCTTGATTGAGGAACGTCTTGAATATAAATTGCTCGACATACATAGAAATCATGAGTAAGAAATTCGATATCATCAACTGCCAGAAACAAAAGTCATTGACAGCTTTTCAAGTAGATGTACGAAGAGAATAATTCTGTGGAAAAAAAGAAAAAAAAAACAAAAAGACTATTTCTTCTACTTCATGCTTACCGGTTGCGTCAAATGAGCCGTCGATCGGATTTGCTGAACTGGAACTTCTGGTGGTATTTGGCCGCCCATTTCAGGGTTGTAGAAGTCAGGGCGCATCTGTGAACCGCCTGGTATGTTAGGCACTTTGAACCGCTCATCCACAGCAGCAGCAGCATGCTTGTACTGGAACAGCAGTTTGACGATCACTTCTTGCAATACTTCGCAAAAATGCTGGCTGCACATTAGCGAAGAAAATTCAATTGTGATTTTCGAAAGGAAATCCAACTGAACCAAAAGACAAATCAAAAGCTCACCACGACACGTTTCACTCGTGGTTGTTTCCCGCGATTCGCACGATTTTCTCTGGCTCGACTAACAAAGTCTTGGCGATTTTCCGTATCCAATACTCGCCACAAGCGTTGAATGTGTTTTACGCGGTCATTCCAGTCGGGGTACTTCTCCTGAAATATCGAAATGAAGCGCAAAACATAGAAATAAGAAGACTCACATCTGCCCAATGAGAGCCCAGAACCCGAAACTCACCTTAAGGTAGGCGTGCTTTTCGTTGGCATAAAGAACAGCAGCTTTGGTAGCCTGACTACCCAGAGGTTCGTCTTCTTCCCACCTTTAAACAAATATGAAAATGCACACAGCACGTATGTTGGAAAAATGTAAAAAACAACCAAAACAATGCAGTAAGAAAATTTAATTTCGGGATCAAAACTGCTCAACGAAACTGAATATAAAGTAATGAAAAACCAAACTGCAAAGCTGTCAAAAAAGGTCGTCTCAAATAGCAAATTCGTACCAAGATGACCACGAGAATGAAAAAAAAATTCAACAAATCAAATTCAACACACCTTTCTGTAGTAGGATTATTTCTCTCTACCCCGTCCATTTGACTGCTACTTCGCGACAACGATTTAGCGTTGTTCGGCAGCAAATACGCTGGCGTAGCCGGTGCCACAGTAATGTTAGTCACGTCGTTTGGAAAAGCTAAACAAATGTTCGAGAATACCCTAAGCAGAACGCTCCTCAATGTTAATGAAATATGGAGGCGCGAGCCCCTTACATGCAATTTTTATGATCTAAACTAGTAATATAAATCAATAATTCAATAGCACTATAATTCATAATCCTCCAAACTACTGGAAGCTACTAGCACTTACTTGTCGGACCGGTTGGTACAGAAGATGAAGGCGTTGACGCAAGATCACTGCTAGTTGTTGGTTCGAAGCCGTCAGCTTTCACAATGTCGAAGGCATCTAAAGAAATTAGGTCAATTAATGTCAAATGAAAAATTTATTTGGTGACATTGAAGTAGAGAATTTCTAAAAATTAGTTATTTCACCATTCAAGCTATCATCAAAGTCGTCATCCTCATCATCTTCCATCCAGTTGGTGAAATCCATGTCCATGTTATCAAGGTCGACTTCTCCAATGTCCAGGTTTTCGAGAATGTCAACCTTAAAAAAACAGATTATACCACAAAAAACCTTCCGAATGGTGAAATGAGTCTCTCACTTCCGTCAAATCATTCTTCAATTGTTCAGTAGCCTCATGAGAAAGTTCATGCCCCCGACCAACTGCTTCAGTAGCGGTAGTGGTTCTTCCTTTACCGTATTCAGCCAGTGATGGTTCTTCTACTACAGCATCTATCAACGCTTTTCCTTCGACAGGCCGCATTCCGAAAAACCCTTCCTGTAAAAACAGAGAGATCTTTGCTTTCCTTGTACAATAATATTCATGTTACGCACTTGAATAGCAGGAGGATAAGCGTCTTCGAGCTGACTTCGACGCGGTTTTCGTGGCCTTTTCTGCTTCTTATTGCCATCTTCATCGGGTAAGTCGTCCTCCATGGTTAATAACCGATGGCGAGGGATCTTCACGAAAAATCCACACCGACTCCTATACAAAATTCAGGATGGTACAGAGAAATGAGCTCAGCATCTTTATCTGATGAAAAAAATACCGAGTTTCGGAACTCTTCGACCTGGTCCTCCACCTCGACCCATGCCACGGCCGCGACCGCTGCTCGAAAGCATTTCTATTTCTTCTTGCAAGTAGTCATCTTCCAAGCCGTCTGAAAACATGCTGGGATGAAAAGTTAGACCGCGAAAGGACCTAAGCTAAGCAAAGTTGCGAAGAAGGCAAGTATTTTCTAGGAAAGAGCCATTTCGCATGAAAACGTACAGTGATCGAAGCTTTCTGATCGGTAGCCAAATGAATCCATAGGATTAGGTCGAAAAAGGCTCGGCATAAAACGCGACTGCAGCACCTCCTCAGCAGATTTGTTCAAGGCAACATTATCACATATGAGAAGGCTGGAGTGGTCACCTGAAAATCGATATTGTGAAATTAGCTAGGTTGTTCTAGTAAACTTGAAACCATAATGAAAATGTCGAAAAAAAAACGTCAGGAACTTTAGTATGAGAGCTTAGGAAACATGGGAGCCGTTCGGCGACGCGGGAGGAGGACCTTGCGGGTGTGTGGCAAGAGAATCGTAATTCCCGCGCCAGTGCACGTCGCGTGCGACCTCGCGACTGCTAATGACGACGATTTTAGGTGACATTGGTCGAGAAGAGACAATGTATTAACGAAAATAGACATAAGTGTTCACCATGTCTTTGTCTACGTGAAATCCGATGCTCCAATCGGAAGGGTAGTGCAAATTAAGGTAACGTCGCGCCCACTGCCGCGCGCGACGAAGCGGCACTTTACGATCCTCCTGCCCGTCTCCCGGATCTTGCATTTCTCTTGCTCCATTAGTTCCGGTTTACCACTCTCAATCTGGTGAGACTTGGGAACACTTGCAAAGCTAGAGCAAGTTCGTCCAGCCACCACGGTAAAGCCTGTCACTCTTGTAAGCTCACGAAATGGCTCGACGCGTCGTTGGGAAGTAGGAAAGTGCAAAATGCCTCCTCCCTCCCTCCCCCCCCCCCCTCCAAAACTCTCCTGTCGCCGGGCGGCGCTGAAACACAATAAAAAAAGTGAACTAACTTATTCCCATCAAGGCAGATGTTGTCCTGCTGTTTGGTCTACACGCCGAGCAACGCATTTTGTTGGCCGATGCTGACTCCAACATTTCATCGTTGTAAAGGTCCTCACATGTTCCATGGTACCATCTAATAATCGCACTCATAGTAATATTTTCGAAACCATTAATAATGAAGTATTTTCACTTACCGAGCACATGCACTACATTTAATGATCTTCTCGCCAATAGTGTAGTGTTTAGAACATTTCGGGCACTTCTTCAGAGACCCACACGTCGTGCATAGCCCATCGCGAGTTAAGTCTGTGCCAGAGGTGACCCTTATGTTACATCGACGACATCGTGCGCACCTGATGTGATTATCATAGTGTTCTCGCAATACAAGAGGGTGAGGGAATTTAAGAAATGGAAATGTACTCTTCGTAAGACTGCAAAAGGAAAATCAAACATACCAATGACACCTCCAAGGACCATTAGGAATGCGGTCAAGAGGTGGAGATAGGCAATAAATATGGAAAGAGACGTCGCACTCTTCACAAAGAAGCAGCTTTGACTCATCCTTGCCCTCTCCGCAGCCCTCACATATCGTGCAATCAAGACATCTCCAACCTCGATTGACAACAGCCTGATTCAACTGAAACAGCATTTATAAGCCCGATGACAATCCTACAGTGTATTTGTAGTTCGCGACATGAGCAATTCATTCGCTCACAAACCAGCGATTGTAACCTCATGCATTTCATCGCTAACTAATGTATCGCATCGCTTTGAGAGGGCATTCATGGCTCGCAATCTGGTCACTCTAATCGCGCGCTTAGGAACTGTCAACAGTTTGCGACGCTGCGTTTCTCTCAAAAGAAACGCTTCGGCGAAAAGCTTTCGATACGTATCGACTGGCGGTTGGGCGAAGAGTCTGGCGGTTGGGCGAAAGGGTTTTGATACGAATCGACGGGCGTTTCGCCAACCGCGGCGTTTTTCGCCTTCGCGAAACGCTAGCTCGACCGCCCTGGCGTTTTTCGCCAGCGAAATCGATACGCATCTATTGCTTTTCGCCCAACCGCCGTTTCGTCAGGGTCGCAGACTGTGAACAATGCCTTAGAGCGATCAGCAGCAGCGAGCGGTTGGCGCCGATCCTGCGAAACGATTCGATTGACGGATCGCGCACGAGTCTCGGTATCTGTACCAATCGTTCGTGGACGGCGCCAACCGATGGCTGACGCCAATCACGCTGATCGCGAGAGCAAATCGCTAGCGCATTTAGAGCGACCAAATCGCGAAGTATGAACGTTTTCTGCTGAATACTTCAGTTACATCCGCATTAAAAGATCTTCCAAGCATTCTACCTTTGTGCTTGCTTGCGTTGCATCCATTGAGGGATAATTTGGCGCGAACGCAGTTACGTGGGGTCACGCTTCCAGACTAGGACGACTACGGCGACTTCAACCCTCATAGTTCTTTTTCTCACAAAGTCAGTGATCCCTTTCCCAAGACTGAGACCTAAGGCAGCAAGGACAACGTCAGTCGCATATAAGTACTCCGTGGCCACCGTTACTATCTTTACTTCTCTCGACTTGTATGCGAAGCCTCCCTGGTATGGTGACAATAATTTCAGATCGAAGTTCCCTTCCTGTGAAATGGACATGAGATTGTGCCCCACAAATAACTTCTTTTGGTGATTTATAACAAGTAGAAAAAGAGAAATAATAGTCAAAAGATTTATTTTATGTGCCTTTTGAGGTTTACAAGTGGAACATTATGGAAATGGCCTAACGTTCCGACTGAACCTTCAAAAGCCCATAGTTCCGGTCTTAAGTGGAAAATCCGCAACCACGCTTGGGCGCTGGTAAGTAACCAGTAAGAGGCCAAAATATATTTAATTCTGAAATTGCAACTGCTCTAGCTGTTGCGGAGGCTCACCCACTAGCGGTGAAGCACTCACACAGCAAGCGCTCCACATGAGTAACTGCGAATCGCGAAGTATGAACGCACTCTTAGACGTAGCCAACGAACCAACATGTCTGAACACACTAAAGAACCACCTCGTTCGAAAACATACCTTATCATGCAAGCCGACGCAGTAAGTGTGGAAGGTCTGAGCACAATTGCAACATGCAACCATAGAACTTTCTTGGGTGTGAGGTTTTCCAACAGCACCGCATATAAGACAAATGCTCGACTAAATTATAAGAATTTCAGACCAGTATGACAGGAGAATACCACGAAAAATGTTGACGAGCAATTTCTAGGCTCTTCGGGTATTATTCCCATAATAGGCTAAAGGCGAAATACCTGTTGAAGGTACTGGTCCTGCGAATCGCAAATAATGGCTGTTCGGACATATTCATCGTCAGTCCGGAGATTTCGGTCTTCATCTCTTTCCAGCATTGTCTCATCCACCTATTGAATTTATAGAATGGCAAATACGCCTCTTCAGACAAAAACGCAACTAGGAGTGTAGATAGAACATACCTCTCTTATCAGCGGCTGCTGCTGGTGCATCTGCAATTGTTGCTGTTGTTGTTGTTGCTGCTGCATTATAATTTGTTGCAGAACAGCGCTCTGTTGCAGATGTGAGTTTGCTCCACTGAAAAAAACTGTTTTAAAGCGCGAAGTCTTACAGCACGACCTAATTATTGTGGAAGCTCTCATTTCGTTCAGTTCCTATGAACGAGCTATTGAGCGGAAACCCTTTTCAGGTCACTGAATTTTTAAAATTTGAGCTCAGTCCGTGGGCTCGAGCACTGGTAAGCGTGCTCCCTTTTCGAGTTATCTGGTCCCCAATGTTTTCCTACATTGGGGGCTTCTATTAGTAACGAAGCTGCTGTGGTCCTCATAAGTGGCAGTTCTGACGCCTCCCTAGTTGTCCCGCCCAGTAAAACTCAGATTTATTGGCAAGAGTACAGCTTTTACAGTTTTTTTCTCTGTCAGATGGTAGTAACAGTAGATGACGCGAACGCGAAGAAATTACTAATAAGCCAGAGGTGACAGGATATCGCTGGGCTCATTAAAATGAGTAGGTCAGAAAGAGCTCGTAGAGTGATGCTGCCAGGTCCCCACTTGGACTGTTCTCCATGGTTTTTTTTTCTTTTTTTCTTCCTTCGAGAGTGGGTTCTCCCTTGAAACGAATTGATGGTAGCTACTTCTTCTTTGTCAATTATAGGCTCAAAATACATGAAAAGAAGCGAATAATAACGAAACATATTCATACCGTCCTCTGCCTCGGCCCCGTCCTGTGCCAGGAGCTTTTCCTATTCCATTCACTTTTGACCCACGTTTTCCGCGTTTCCCTCGTGTCGATGGAGGAAATATCGATGATCCATCACCTGGTGGTTTTGCTCCTCTTGTTTTAGAGGAACCACCACGACCAGGCTTCTTCTTCGCCCCACCTCGACCTCGAGAAGTATAACCACCACGTGAGCTAAGATAACAACGTTTAGTCATAATGCATTTAAGTATATAAAGGTAAAAAGTATACTAACGGTTGGTAAACGAAGGTTTCATACCTTCCGGGAACGAAATCCTCATCCACGTCAGATGGAGAATTTTCAGGATAAAATGGAGAATTTCGCGCAGAATCGCTCGTGGTAGCTGGAGAAGAAATCCCTTCGGACATGTTGTACACATCCACGTTGAAGTCTGGGACAACAGTGCTAGCAGTGACCGGGGAACTCGAACGGAAGGGATTGAGCGTCATGTCAGAAGCGGACGTTGACGAAGGGACCGTGATGGAATCTGCAAAATCGACTATCCTATAATGAAGAAATCGGAGCATTTTTGCAAAGACAACAAGCTGTTCAGGGGATTCAAAAACGCGTTTTAGACAGTCAAACTAACCAGATTCGGCACCCAAGGGAGAGGCTGGTCCGATTGCTGCAGAAAGCATAATATCACCAACCAGTGGTGATCTTCGGCACGACGCACATACAAATTCAGCCATATTAACATCAGATCTATCGCATTCCCGATGTACAAACCTTAAGGAACGCTTTGTTAAAAAAAAGACAATGTTGATGCTTGTATGGCGTAAAGCTATGATTATTTCCATTTGGGCGAGAAACCGAAGGATGGTAAGGTACTGTTCACAGCTTGCAACCTCTCCCATACTCTGACCTACTGAATGCAAAGGATCAGCGCCAGCCCATGAACTTTCGTAGCACCAACTAAATCTTTGGTATTTAACTGAATACAAAGGATAAGGAGTGTTGGGGTGGGGGGATCATCAAACAAGAAGAAACGTTGGAATTCAACTCAATCAAATTTAATCAGTTTTTGATTCCTTACTTTTTGCATGATGTGCATACACGAGCTGTACTATGATTGATAACAATGCCTGAGCATAGTGGGCATACAAGTCCAACTCCCATTTGCATTGCTCCACCTACACCTGAGCACGTGTCGCACACTTCAGCAGCACCACCACCCAAAAAGCCACTGCCACACTCGATGCACTGGAAATAAGTACACATCAATTGAAAAAAAAAACTAGAAAAAGCAGAAGCCAATTGATGACTGCTGTTTCTTAAATAAACAGTCTTATGTAAAGAAAAAAAAATCAAACTTACCATCCGAGTTTCTATTTTCGCCTCCAACATTTTCACTGCACCGTTGTCAAGGCTCGTATTAACGCAACCATTCGCCGATATCTTGGCAAGACTGTCCTTTCTGAAAAAAAAATTAATCGAATTCATACAGGACATATGCATGATAGCTCAACACACAAAAAAGGTGCTATGATTCTTTCAGTAATACCTTCTCTGAAAAGACAGTGAGACTGCGTTCAGAGTTCGCGATTGCATCGCTCGATTAGATCGCGCGATCACGAACGGGAGTGCTCCAACGCCAAGCGTGCACCGCCGCAACGGCAGAATACAAAATGGGCCGGGTTCACACAGGGCCAATTTGAATTGTGCCATGGTGACGGTGCATCTTTGGTGTGGTCGTGGTCGCGACCCAATCGCTCGGGCGATCCCGTCGCAAAGTCTGAACGGATCTAAGCCTTTATGGAATTCGGGCTGTGTTCATACATTACGACTGAAGAGATTAGGCTATATGGGAGACTTCGGCAATCAGAACTGCAATCTGGCATTTTGGGAAATTACCGGATCACCGAATCTCGTCATTTGCAAGGCATAAAGGCGTCTAACCCCTGTTCTAGTGCCATATTCCCCCGTTTTTATTGATTTTGAGAGAAGAAACAAGTAGTCGTCATTCAGCTCACCAATACTAAGAATTATAAGTCACACTCTAGTTGAAAACGTACACTGGTCATTTTGGTATGAGCTATACCTGCAAGCAAAAAAAAGGCGGTCAAACTTACGCTAGTCTAGCTGCAAAGGCGTTGAAATGTATTGATTTTTGCTGCTTGGACGAAACGATAAGAGAATGATCTCCGTTCATAACCAATAGTTAGCAGCCCATCATGTAAAGTTGTTCTTCTTGTCCTGTTAGTGATGTAGTCTTGAAAAAACTTACAAGTTATAAGCGGCGAAATAAACATTGCATTATTAACGTGAGTGAAACAGTTCTGGCGTATCATATGCATGATGGTAATAACAGAACGAAACCGAACACTGTGATAGGATACAGAACCTAACTTATAGCACAAATAAAATGTTTGAAAATAAGGGATCCATTAAATCTTAGAAGTATAAGAGATAAATGCTATGAAGGTGGCGTAAAGAGAAGCAGCCCGCGTACCCAGCGCGCGGTCCATAGGCGCATATCGGGTCCCATCTACGGCAACCAGTGAAATTATCATTATAAGAATTGTGCATAGTACAGAGACTTTCACATTACCATTTAGCCTTGCAATTGCATAGCACAGAACTTTTTTAAAAAGCAGCAATGCACAGCATATATTACCAGTAAGCTTTACATCATTTAAAATTCGCCTCGGGTTCCAAAACTGTATTTTGTGCGGCTCACATACTAAATGCCAAGATGGTAAGTGATAAAAAGAGAAAAGTAGAGCAGGAGGAAGTCATTCAAACTGTCCTGTGTAGGACCCCATGCTGAACCGCGTCTGTACGTCCATGAGGCGAAGAAAGAACGTGCTCAGACGAGTTCTCAAATGTTGGTGCCAACACTTTCTCCTTCTCCTTATCACCTCACTATGACCATTTGAAATGGATAGGGTTAGTAGCAGAACAACTACACCAAGACAGCAGTGAAAATGAATGTTGGTGTTTTGCCATTGCTAGTGGGCGGAGCCGTGGCCCCGTCGTGAGCGGGTCGCGCTTATCTCACGTATATTTGAGCTGCGAACTAAGTACAGTCCACCTCTGCAGGCAGGGCTACCTTGTCTAAAAAAGGTCTGAACATACTTGAAATCATGCCATCGAAGAACCAGATCCCTCCGATTAGCAATCAATTCAAATACTTCCGAAAAGTCCTTCTCCAAACAACACCCTCAGAATTTCCCCTTCTGGTACGACCCCCTTCCCCATCTCCCATCCTAGCTACCGTCTGCCTTAATATCCCTATTCCCTGCACTTCTCCAGTTTTTTTTCCGAAAATTTTTCAGTTTCCCTCCAAAAACTGCTGCAGAGCCGGGGTCGGCGAGGTTATATGGCGCACTTGAAACAAGAAATCTCGAGAAGTCAGCAACCGATAATGCAAAGACAAATACACACCCTCCACCACGCTAAGATCCCCAAACGTTTACGACAGGTTCTGGCACCGATCAATACCCACCTACTTTAACTGACAATCTCAGGGAGAAGCCGATTCTCTAAAATCGCAGAGTATGACCACAGCCTAAAGATCCCATCTAACAAACTCAGAAAACAAAGAGAAGCAACAATTGGTCATAATTTCCTATTCCCAGCGCTGGAGTATTACTTAAAGGGAACCAAGTAAAGATTGAGCGAAGAGGAGAGCCATTTTACTGCCACTCACAATAACAAAATACAATATAGTGAAGCTCAGGAAACAATGAGTTCATGTGTTTTGAGGGAACATTCAGACTTGCCAGTAAATTCGGTCCAACAAGTTAAATTCTAGAGGAAACCTTCTCATTACTTTATGGGCAAATAGTAAATAATCGACTGTCCCTTAGTTTTCTTAATAAGTCTGACGCTGAAGCGGAGGTGGACGCTTACTACGCGCACGGTCCGGTCATGAGATCCCGGATCGGCCCGCGCCCAGGCCAACCAAGCCGTCTACCCTCAGAGGGCTGTAGATTGGAGGCAGATACGACTGGGCAGAACACTGACTTGAACATTGGCTGCTCCCCGCAAGTCATTGTTTAGGCCACATCGCATTCAATAAGCCACTACGATTCTGAATGGAAGTAGAATGCGTGCCGCATCCCACAAAGGGATTGATTAACGAGGCATTTAATCTCTGTACTTTAATGTCTGGCGGGCGGGCAGCTAGCAAAGCCAGTACAAGTTACCAAGCGCTTGAAGGTTTACCGCCATCAACTGCAAGAATGGAGTTCTGAAATCTACTGAATAGGTCCTGCTTCACTTATAACATTGCGGAGCACTCTTGAGCTTCTGAATGTTCCAAGGAAGAGAAAGCTTTTAAGCTGCACAATCTCGGTTCTTATCAAAAAACATCGGTACGATATTGTGCCTTAGAGTCGAATAAAAGGATATTACTACTGTACAGTTTCTGTCAAGTGGCATAACCGTAATGGAACTTGAAGACTTAGTTTCTCTTCCCTTAAAGTTACTTATAATTACTAGACTATTATTAAGAACAAGATGATTTATAAATTCCATTCCAAATATTTAATCACAGATCATCTACACTAGACATTCGAAATCTCACCAATGGAACTTCCGGAACTACGGAACTTCTAGAAAGACAAGCTACAACAAATATTTTCAGTAAACCAAGTATCGAAAAGATAAACATCAAGCTAATAGTATTAGTCGGTGCAAATATTCCAAAAAAATATTCGATATTTCCGTGGGAACGTAGCGCAATATAATGAAGCAAATAAAAAATTCTTTCAACGTTCATTAGAGCAGGCGACAGGAGAAGTCACACCACAAAACACATGATGTACTGTAAAATTTGGCTGTTCTAAATGAAAGTCATGATGTCACGAGAGGCCAAGACGTTTTGAGCCATGCGCATATGGGTAAAATGGCATCAACGCATTTCATGGAACCTCCACGAGAACAAGATAGTCACAGTGGAGACCTTCCAGATGGTATGAGTGTGGATGAGGGCCAAGTAATCCAGTTTCGAAAAAAAAAATAGATCAACTCCACGGGGCAGGGTCGAGGACGAACCCACGAACGGGTCGTGAACCCCCAATATCGACCAAAATGCCGAGTGAAAATTCGGCTATCGATCGTTGACAACTTGCCAAGGCTTTTCTCGGCTTTCTCCGCGATCGCACACTGCTGTTCACTGCTTGGCAGCCCGCTTAATATGTCACACCCATGATCGCTGGACTGCCGCGAAGGCGGAAGAGGATCTCTCGTTGCGCAGCGGTCGCGTCGCGGCCGACGACTCGCCCGGTACAGCTGGGGCGTGCGGGGCCGCGAGGCGATGTGGGGGGTCGAGGGTCGGCGCATGGGGACGGCCGGCTTCTGGGTGGACGAGGGGTCTGACGAGGAGCGCGCAAGAATCAGTGTCCTTGGTGACGTGTTGATTTCTTCAAGGATAGAGAGTGCAGTAAGTCCACTAATTAATTAAACTGAAGAGTCTCATTACAATTACGCGTGATTGGAAATGGAGACTTGTAAGATGGTTCTTAGCCCTCTAGGCTGGCAAAAATTACGTTCCGATTTAGGATTTCCCGGTTCCGGTTGCGTGTTTTCCCTGTCCAAGGAAATAGATCAGGTCACATCAGCGCAAAGATTTATGTTGTTGTTGTGCGGCTTAGTGATTTAGTGTCTTCCTAACTTTTTTTTGGAAACAATCTTCATTACATCTAACATATGATTTGAGAAAATCCTTCTCTCAACATTTAAAGTTAATTTTTATCTTTGTAATTGTGGACAACTCGATGATTGCTAACTTGTGACCCGGTGTTCCACTTTGAAATGAGATCGGATCCTGTGATTCCGATAACTGATTCTATGACTATTTCCTTCAAGACTCGGGATGGGAGTTGCAGGAAACCAATGACTCGTTGAGTAACAGGGCTCCGGAGGGGGGGGGTGAGGTTGGACAAGCAACCTTGTGGCGAAGTAGGAGAAAGCAGCGTTACTTAGGCGTGACATCACGCACTGGAGCAGTGTGTTCCCTAGCTAGTTGACCGGACGGATGCAGTCACAGAGAGAGCTGGTCGACTCGAGAGACGCAGACGTTGAAAGAGCCGAGAGAGTCGGCGCGTCGCAGCACTGCCACATTGAGTGAGCTTGGGTCCCGCTGCGAATTCTGCATACATCATCCCGCTAGCAACCTATATTTCGCCACGCTCGCCGTACTGGGATGCAAGCTCCACACCCCAAAATAATTCGTCCCCTCCCAGGCCCAGCATTGAAAGAGCGCAGACGACCGCACGACACGGTAAACAGGGACGCATGTGGTCCCTGAGTGCGCTACCCTACAACTACAGTAGACCCCACTTTGTCACAGTAGACATTCTGTATCAGCAACTATCCAGATGAACCACTATTCACGGAATTAAGATGGTTGTGGGAATTGGAGACGCCCGCATGGCCCCGATGAAATTCAATAGTGTTGGAGCATGAGTTTCATGAGCTCCTCTGTTTTTAATTGGGATATTTTCATCTCCGTGACCCTGACCTGGCTGGGCACGAATCGTATTGAAGCCAGCGTTGACGTAGGTGATCGAAACGCTGTCAACAATTCAACGTCGCGAGAGGAATGTGGATCCAATGAAACACTGACAGCTGAGTGTTCAAAGATGTCAAACTTGCGTCCCTTTCACCTCCGCTTCCCGTTTTTCGTGGTCATCGCCGCAATGACGTCAACGGTGGCGACTTTTTGCTTCGCCAACGCTAGTCGTTCTCTGAATCCTTTTCTCGCCCTAATTGCAGGCAACAACACTTAACTGTCCACTAAAACGCGGGCCGCAACATTTGTAATGCGACGATGCTCGTCGGGAAATTGAGAAGTTGTTTCTACTGCATGTTAATGAGGTGCGGTTGTTACAACGATTCCGTAAATGCTTCATTAGGTTCGCTTGAACTCCTATCAACGACCTTGACCTTTACTCTCCTGAGCGCGTTCTTGCCTAAGCTTTATGCTATCCCCTCTGTGTTACCACGCGCTTCCCAATGTGTCATACGCGGGGTTCACCCAAATTAGTACCCCCTCCTAAATGGTCGATGTATATTGTGCACGGATAATTTGGGCACTATTGAACTATTCCTACCCCAAAAACTCAAAAAATTTTTTTTCGCTGAAACTTTGTCTTCAGATGTTATTCGATGTCCTGATCACGAATATAACATTCATTTCTGGCG